GGAAAATGATCCTGAATAATATATATATATATATATATATATATATATATATATGAACTTTATTTCAATCCTTCATCAGCTTCCGATCTTTAACTATGATTAATTAATGATGAACATCTCATTTTCGTTTATGATCGATTTCATCACGATTCTTCTGAAAAGCTTGGAGGGTATTCATACATTCTTATTGCTCAGAGACCAGTAGTCTTATAAAAAACCGGAGAGTTCCAGCAAGCGGCATTCCCGCCTTGCTTAGAGGGAAATGATTAGAAAAGAAATAGTCCCGTTATGCAGATTTGCGTCGGCATGGAAACCGTTTTTTTCTACTGACGAGCTCAGAGTGCTTTGCAGCCAAAAACCAATAGACATCTTTCTGTTTCAGGGTTTATAGATACATTTAGTGTTTTATTGCTGAATTGTTGTCCACCTAAAATTGAATACAGAACAATCTCATTACAGATGAAGAAGAAACTTGAAGAAACAGAAAATTGTTTCTCCAGGATGCTGAGAATAAAATTTGATGGAACACGTGAGTCACGACAAATTTTTAATTAAAATGGAAACAAACTATTCTTCTACTTAGAATCAGAATGTAATTTGAAATTTCCAAGTCACATAATGAGAAAAGAGGGTACTCGACATTTAGCCGACGGATATTTGGCCGACGGACATTTGGCCGATGGACATTTAATCGATGGATATTTAACCGAATGGACATTTAGCCGAAAATGTAGTGGTGTACTTACATTTATGTCACACTCTTTATCGTATTGTGCTACATATATTTATTTACTGTATTAATTTATAATTTTTTTGACAGGCTTTTTTTTTAATCTATTCTGTATATATTATATTTTATTTCAAATGTTATTGTAAGATAAGTATTTTGAGAAACAGCACATTTTACTACAGCAAAAATCTTAAGCATTTACGATATGAAATATCTTTCAATTTCGCTTTTAATGATCATTATCTTAAAGGGGTGAATTATTACTGTTAAATACGAATTTAAATAATTAGGTGCTACTTTTTACCCAAATACACTCAAATATTTTTAAAATAAAAATTTCAATACAGAAATATTGAAATGAAAAAACTTTAACTTTTTTAACCACTTTCATCCCAGCCCCTCAACATCGGACGTCTTACTTTCTGGGTTGAGGTGTCTAATCGGTCTTAACCGAACTTAAGGGAGTTGCCGTAGGTTCACTGAGCATCCGTAGATCATTCGACCGGTCCACTGGTTTAATTCTGCTTCCTGCCCAAGTTGTGTTTTGTTTGATCCAGAAAGTAGAAGTGATGTTCATCCATTCACGGTCGACTGGAGATGTAGACACGGCTGGAGAGTCTGTGCAAAGAGATTTAGAATGCACCAATATATATATATATATCTGCAATAAACCGGACAAACAACGATTCAATAGTTGAATTGTTAATGTCTTTTATATCGAAGAAAGAATAGTATAGAAAAGAAACGGGTTACAGAAAAGAAAATAACTGACGTAAAAACTCATAAAATGGATTCTAGACGCAGAGAAAGAGAGTGGGTTGTGATTAGCTTGTTGTATAATCGTCTCAGATCGATATGCATCTCTTGATTATTGTAGCTTGTTCGACGTTTCCGTTTCCAGTGGTAGTAATAATATGTGCGCGCATATATAGATAAGCCTGGCTGATCACAAATCGATCCTTGGTCCGCACGCGATTATCATGAGTGCCGCTGTCAACCCTAAGCCATGTGAGTTTCAAAGTTCTCATAGCTTCAGTAAGCTCTATTTCAATTTTAACCGACAAAAGTTATTTCGATCATTTTTCATTGTCTTTACTAATGACCCAATTCCAAATGAGCGAAATCAGGTTTCCCTCAACAAAATTGTTCAGATCTATTTTAGCTGTTCAAATCTACTCCAAATTCAATAAAAAAATATGATATATATGTGTGTGGATGTTTGTGTGTTTCCCAAACTCTCTCTGTCACAACTTTAAATTCAAATTTAGTAATTTAATCACTTGAAATTCAATGGTAATTATTAGTCCTATTGTACAATATAATACCTGTAATTAAAATACTTAAAGTATTACTTGTTATTATTTTTACTTGTAATTTTTCAGTGAAATATCTGTAGGCCAAATGTCCCTTCGGCAAAATGTCTCTCGTTCCAATGTCTCTCGGCCAAATGTCCGTTCGGTCAAATGTCTGCCGGCCAAATGTATCTCGGCCAAATATCTGTTCGACCAAATATCTCTCAGCCAAATATCTCTCGGCCAAATGTCTCTCGGCCGAATGTCTCTCGGCCAAATGGCCGTTGGTCAAATATCCAGTCGGTTAAATCTCTCATAGCCAAATATCCATTCGACCAAATGTCTCTCGGCCAAATGTCTCTCGGTCAAATGTTAGTCGGCCTAATGTCCGTTCGGCCAAATGTCTCTCGGCCAAATGTCTCTCGGTCAAATGTTAGTCGGCCTAATGTCCGTTCGGCCAAATGTCTCTCGGTCAAATGTTAGTCGGCCTAATGTCCGTTCGGCCAAATGTCTCTCGGCCAAATGTCTCTCGGTCAAATGTTAGTCGGCCTAATGTCCGTTCAAATGTCTCTCGGCCAAATGTCTCTCGGTCAAATGTTAGTCGGCCTAATGTCCGTTCGGCCAAATGTCTCTCGGCCAAATGTCTCTCGGTCAAATGTTAGTCGGCCTAATGTCCGTTCGGCCAAATGTCTCTCGGCCAAATGTCTCTCGGTCAAATGTTAGTCGGCCTAATGTCCGTTCGGCCAAATGTCTCTCGGCCAAATGTCTCTCGGTCAAATGTTAGTCGGCCTAATGTCCGTTCGGCCAAATGTCCGTCGGCCAAATGTCCGTCGGCCAAATGTCCGTCGGCCAAATGTCCAGTCGGTTAAATGTCTCTCGGCCAAATGTCCGTTCGGCCAAATGTCTCTCGGCCAAATGACTATCCGGTCAAATATCTCTCGGCCAAATGTCTGGCCACGGAAAAGAGATCTTGGAGAATTTGACACTCACAAGACATTTAAGCCAAGAGGTGAAATAGGAAAACAACGAATAACGTTCCGAACGAACTTGCGCAATTGTTAGAACAGTGATTAGGAGGGAATATCAAAAATACCGTGCTAAGAGCTAAAAAGTTGTGGAGAGATTATAATCCTCAACATTTTAAAAAGACACATTATATAGAAAAAGAACAGGTGTGCGGACAGATTCTCTGTCCTTGAAGCAACATTAATTGGCGAGACTAATTGGCGAAAGAAGATTATTTATCGACCAGCTTATGCTTGATACATTATTTATATCGATATTTCTGACGCCGCTTCCCCAAGGGTAATTAGTCTAACCGCGAGAATTTTCGCTCGCTATCTCTGAGGTCGATAAAACTCAGGAAAGTTTATCTCAAGTTAGAAAGATAGAAGGGTTTATCTTTATACAAAATCAAACTTCCATTAGCAACCACACACAAGACAATACGCGTATCCTTTGAAAGACGCTACTCGACAATCAGTCTAACCTGCATCGTACTTATGGAAAGTAATGGCCATGCTCGAGTACTAAAATAGCGCCCAAGTCTGACACCCCGACAAAGAGGAAAATAGACTTCTTTTTAAAAGTGCCGTGCCCCTTTCAGGTCGTAGGCGATCATAGCTCTCTAGAATTCCCTGTATTTTGTAGCTCTTAATGTTATCTATCCTAAACCTTGCTCCGAGATCCATTTACCCAAGCTCTCTAGATAGGTTATGCATTATCTTCCTTTGCCATGTCAGTACCACATTTTCCAAGCACCCTTTCTTCATTATATAGCCTAGATATTTCAACTGTTATTTTCTGATGTTGGGTATAAGTGTTCTTTTTTGTTTTCATTATCTCCAAAGCTTCGTCGTTGCTCACATGTTGTGTCTATGGCATTCTAAGCATCTTTCTGTAGTACATTTCTGCTGCTTCATGTCTCTTCTTCATCGGCGAGTGGATTGTCCAGCATTGTTCAGTTCTCATTTCTTTGGTTTAACGAATTTTTTATGTTTCTTAATATTTTGATTAACTTTGGGAAGGCATCTTTCGCTATCCCAATGCACATTTGGATATCAGTGTAGCATTTTCAGTCCTCTGTTAAAACCCTTCCCAGATATTTAACTTGTACTAGTTTGATTTTGTCATCTACAGTGTGTAATTTGCATGTTAGGCTGTTTCTTTTACTAACAACAATGCATTCTGTCTTTTTCTATTTGATGTGTAGTCCTTTCTTCTCCTTTTCCTTCAGTAGCTTCTGTAGGAGTTCTTGTAGTTTCCTTTCCATGTCGGCTATCAACATTGTGTCATCTGCATATCTTATATTAAGGTTGTGGTCGTAAATAATGAATCCTATTAGAATCGACTCACTGTATCGGTTTAATACGTCCGGTTAGAAGATACATAATTGCTTTTAATTCCTTTCTCTTTTTGTATATTTACATTCATTTTCTGTCCGTATGCAGGCGCTTTTCCTCCCAGTATATTTGTTGAAACCTAAGGAAGGTTACTGAATAAAATAATCAAACGAAGGGTGGTAATGCACCTAAATACTTTGGACAAGAACAAAACACATAAGAGATTCGCCAGCGGCGCGTAGAAGTAGTCAACTGCTAAAATTCAGTCAAGTGAATTCCACAATGAATCTCCAACTACAGACCAACATACAGTATTTACTACTGTATTTATGTGAATGGGGATATACCCACTATCGTCCGTAGGTATGCTACAAAAATATTGTTCTGAATTATTTTAATATCCTTCTGATATATGTCAAGATTAACTAACAGTTCAAACATTTCTTTGTGATGTATTTTATCAAATGCTTGGATAGTCTATAAAACACATGTACACATGATTCTGCATTGCTCTTTCTGATATCATTTGGAACATAAATATTGCATTTCTTGTTCCAGTGTCTTTAACAAAGTATACTTGGGTGTTCAAAAATACAAGTTAATAACATTATATTGCTTCAACAAGAAGATAGGTTTACAGCAATATCACGTTGAAACACCGGTTTTCCTACCATCACCGACGTTAAGCAACGCCAGCCCTAGTTAGTACCTTGATGGATGGCCGCTTGGGAATAACAAGTGCTGTAAGCTTGGGTGTGCGGGTGGTGTAATGAATAAATAATAAGATATGATATAATAGCACCAGAAGACAATGTTCTAAAATATGGCACAACAAAGTCAACTTTTAACGTTTCAATATCAATAAAATACTCCACAACACAAGTAATCTGCAATGTTATCGATCCTAATCTGGCATCTTTGTATCAGTCTCTTTCTCACTGCCGTAACGTATCTTCTCTATACCATTTTTATAAAGTATTTTTATGGTATTTGTTCTTTTCTCTTTAGTACCTCGACTTCTTGAATTTAAGCGCGGCACTGGATTGGCCTCTAGGTCTCATAATTCCACTGTTGGAATTGCTAGATGTAACAATATTCTATGGTAATGGTGCCTTCTTTCACTTGTAGAAGTCTTTTCCAGCTTGCTGCTTCCATGTTAATTATGGTCGTCAAAATTTAAAGGTTTTAAATAATAAAACAATAATAAAAAATAATAAAACAATAATAAAAATATTTAAATATTTAAATAATAAAACAATAATAAAAATAATAAAACAATAATAAAAATATTTAAATAATTAAACAATAATAAAAATAATGAAACAATAATAAAAATATTAAAATATTAAAATAATAAAACAATAATAAAAATATTAAAATTTAAATAATAAAACAATAATAAAAATAATGAAAATTATAAATAAAATAATATAAAAATTATTTTATTTATAATTTTCATTATTTTATTTAATTGTAACAATAATAATAACCTTGCACTTCCTTCTGACACCACATGTCGGATTTTTTCGAAAACAAAACTTTTATCGTTCTTTAAAAAAAAAAAAGAAAATCCCAAAAAGTAAAGATTTGTATGTTTCTCAATAGAATGAATGTTAAGTTTAGTATATGTTTTTGCTGTTCTCTTTCTTTTCTCAGAAGTTATCTATAATGTCCACTCAAATAAAAGATTATAAAACTTGTTGGGGCCTGTGTACGCGTTGTGAGATAAAAATGTGTGCCTCCTGAAATACCCACAATAAACATGGCGGACTCAGGCTGTGAGTCCACCTAAAGAAATGTAAAGAAACAACAAGCACCGATATATATGTACAAACAAATATTAATACATTAACAGCAAAGGTTTACAAGCGGCAAAGACGTAACAATGTGCGTAACAAATGAATGTGGAAATTTTTGGTCCAAAGTATGAGTAGTGAGTGCATGTGATTACGTAAGTGCGTGCGTGTATTGATCATTCGTTTCCAAAAAAATAAAAAAAGAGGGAACGCGATCTTCCGCGAGAGATTTACATTGTTGTCGTATAAGTTGAAAAGTAAGAAGAGAGTGATAAAAAAAAGAATTATGGCAGAGTATTTTTCTAGTGTTGGAGAACGCCCCTTAGAAACAGTTCCGAAAATTAGGAAGAAATAAACTGACAAACTCATAGACCCCTTAACGTAAGCATCACCTCGAGTATTTAAAACACACATTTAAAAGAAGAAAAATTTAACAGCACACACACAGATACCGACAAAAATATTTAACATTTGAATCGTCAAAGAAATGATATCTTTGTCTCATTCCGATGTTAGTAATTATATCAATCTGTTGGTGAACATTTCAAAATTAAAAATAAAATGAATTTGTTAAATTTGTACAGGTACCTTCACAAAAGAAAGATTATACATATTTTCAAATGCATTTTAAATCTTAGTCTTCGCTATTTTTATTTTTATTTATTTATTTATTTATTGGTGAGTGGGTACTTAAATTTGTTATGTTTGTCTTTTGCTTTTCTACAATTTTATTCTTCAAACACGTTTACACTATTTACATTGTCCGGACTGTTGTCCTCATCTTTATTGTCATATTCACGATGTTTCGGCTGTAATATGCTCTGGCCTTCTTCAGGTGATATACGTTAGAATTTCGAACCAAATATTGTAAATAATGTAAATAGTTACATCATCTCAGAAATATCGACAGTGTCAGAGTTAACTCCTACTTAATTTCCTAATTGTTCACTAAAGCACGCTGTCCCTACACTATAAATACTGGGCGATTTCTTGCCTCGTTCTTTTTTTTTACTTTGCATTTCAGCGGACACATTAAAAAAAACATACACGCATACATATACGTCCGTACGAACATTCATCAAAATACGATCTCTTTACGTTCATGCACAAACACAAATGTTGATGTCTTTGTCCATTATAAATTTTGCTGTTTAATACATATATTTGTGGTATGTACCTTCATGAGATTGCTAAAAACAGATTATAGCTTGATGAAAAAGACGCCAAACTTGACGAAAACAAACTTTTAGCGTCTAAATGTTTATATTATTATTAAGAGGAAAGATCAAAGTATTTTTAATTATTTAAAAAAAAATTTCCTTCTTTTTAGAACATTCTAAATTTTGATTAAAAACTTGTTTCTCTTTGCATCACCGGAACTAGTAAAATAGCATATACAATTTTAGCGCTTTTTTTTCTGTATGACAGACATTAATTTTGAAAATCTTGCAAAAATCAAAATAATTGTCGGATTTTAATGAAACTTTCAGAAACTATTCACAAATGATGGAACTTATTATAAATATGTTTTTCTTTTTTTAAAATCATGGCAAAAATTTTTTTTTCATATGTATTACCCACCACCCCCTAAATAATTGTACGAAAACTCTATAATTTCAATTTTGGTAAGCTTAGTGATTATGTTAATTAAAAGCACAAGGCTTTGAGGAAACCAAATCCTGTTTTGTTTTTTTTTTTTTTTTTTTTTTTGTTTTTTTAGTTGGACCACCTCTACCTGAAAATCATCTCTGAATTGTAACATACAAAACTCAATAAAACAAAAATATTATTTAATTTCAAAAGCTTTTAATTGCTTTTATTTATTTTAATGAACCTGGACAACATTGTCTGAAAGCAAAAAGATATTTCGATGAAAAATGAATTTTTAAAACAATTATTTGTTATTTCTGAAATATTTTATTACTTTAACATTATGTTGTTAATTCTTTTAAAATTAGGGAAAAGTTTATAAAATTTAACGAATGTTGTTATTAAATAGATATATATTTACAGATTATAATTTCCAATGCCTCTTACAAACTAACGAACAACAGTATATAAAAAATATAATTTGTGTCAATAATAACACTGTAAATCAAATCTACGGAACACCGGAAGTATCATGCCTGCAATAAAAAAAAGTCACGTGGACTGAGTTTCTGTCTTGTATTTAACTTAAATACTGAATTTTTAATACAATTATTTGTTATTTCTTTAATTATAATAGATTTTTACATTTAAGTTGTTAAAATATTATAAAATTAGTTAAAAGCGACATTCAGTTTCGTAAATGTGCTTTTGAGATTTATTTTTGCGAAACACGTGTGGAGAAGTTAATTTGATTTTTCAATTTCAACTGAGAAGGGTACCTACAAGTATTAGTATCATCTTATAAAATTAAAATTTGTATTTTATGTACACTTCTGATAAAATGTAATAAGAAATGTACCTATAAATTAATTAGATACCTTTCTTATGAAATTTAATCTTACTCTCAACAGTCTTATTTTAATTTCTTTATAATATATTTTCCATAAAGCATCATAAACATAAATGTGTACAAAGTACAAAAAAAAAAAAAAAAATAAAAAAATAGAGCGGTAAATAATTTGTTCACTTAAATCTAAATAACTTCACTTCTCTCCTTCCGTAGAAGGAATTATCCTCACGTAAGCTTTCAAAACGTCATGAATGTCTTTCGTCACCTGTCAAGTGACGTGAAAAGTTATGACCTACTTTTTTATATTTTCAAAGTACGTTTTTTCGGCGCAGAAACTAAGTTAAGCTTGGTTCAAAATATTTTAAATGAACATAATTTCTGATTTTCTTAAAATAAGTTTCGAAAAAATTGATAATTGATTTTTAAAAGAATGTCAAACTGAGATTTTCATTTTTTTTTTATGAATTGGAATAAAATGTTTGACATGATCGATTATCTGTCAATTTTGCTGATTAAAAAAACAAGATTTTTAACGAAAATTTTGAACGTTCTAAGAACGATTAAAAATGAAAAAAATACCCCCCAAATACTTTGATCTTTCCTCTTAATAATAATATAAACATTTAGATGATAAAGTTTTGTTTTCGTCAAGTTTGGAGTCTTTCTCGTCCTGTTACAAATCGGTCTTGTTTGTTTTCTTTTCAACTTCGGTTGGACTCAACTTGAGTCCGCCATATTTTTGTAGTGGACCTTTTAATATTCTGTCAGGAGTTACACACGTGTTCCTAATTTAACAACACGTAAACCCACGGTCCGCTACAATAGATGTTCTACAACGTTATATTTATTTATTAGTTATAATCGGGAATAGAAATTTGATTGCAATTCACTATAGAATTTAAGGTTGTGTGTGTTAGTGTCTTGTATGTATGTGCGTGTTAACATATCAACAATTAATGAAAAAAACAACTTCGGTTTCTACTACGGACCGTTTATTGCTTTTTGTACAGAAACTCTAAGGAAACAAAGTCCTGTTTCTTGGGTATATACGTTTTATTTTTCTGGATCAGAAGTAAGTTAGGATAAGAAATGATGAGCATGTTTATAACAGACGAGCTCAAGTCAACCATGCACTGAGTTGGAACGACCAAAGTAAAAGTTGTACTTACTTCATGAGGGCAGCTGACAAAAAAAAGACGCTCCCAGTGGAGACGTTTAAATCTACGTCCTGGTTTGAAGAAAGAGAAAGATGAAGCAAACGTAAGCCCAGATTGTTATGAAATAACAGGGAAAGAGATTTGAATGCTATTCCTGATACCTACATACATAAACGCACACAATTTATTGTGATTTGGTACTTTTTAAAGAACTCAAACAGCGCCACCTAATGGACGTTTGGCAAAGCCAAGTGGGGTAAGAAAAATGAAAAGATGAGCAAAACCATTTCCTGGTTTCTTTTCTTTTCTTTATTATTATTATTTTATTTATTTATTTTATTTCCTTTTCCCACATCACTTTTATCACCAACCAATGAATCTAATTAAATACAGTACTTCCTCGCTTATCTAAACACCTTGAGGTAGGTGTTTAACAAATATATGTGGATAAGTCAGTAACTGTATACCCAAATTATCGAAAGCTTACTGCTTTCAATGATTTCCCTTTATATGATCAGTCAATTATGGGCCATTCGTGATACACGCTTAGGCGATCATGTATCTTTCGATACATGACTGACGAGGCAGATTTTTCCAGCAGTAGAAATTTCTTTCTGCAGTAGACCAATTGCCATCTAAGGCGTGGTCTGTCCTGCTATTTACCCATAAGCTGGGGTAGGAAGAAGAAGAGGATTCATACCTCGTACTAGCACGTAAGTGAATTTAATGGATGCGGCTGGAATTCGAACTCGGCTCTCCGATTACTCAATCCGAGTCGATATCCATTACTCCACAGTGCCTCGTTTATATGATAGTAAAAAGAATTCGCGAAAAAAAAACTCATCCATTTTGGTGCTACCTTATTTAATTGAACCAGTTATTTATTTCGGTATCATTTACATCGATGCAAATTGGTTTTAAAATATTCCGTTGTCACAGCTATCGAAATTGCGGCATTATCAGTGGTGGGCATTTCCTGTCAAGAATTTACCTTCCCTACATGATATGAATCGTTTCTGGTTATACCTGGTCCCACGCAGCATAGCAAAAGCTGGAAACTATGATAGAGAAAGAGGGACATTTTTTAGATCTTCTGTTGTCGAAAAGATTTGGGGTGGGAACAGCTTAAAAAACAGACGAGAAGTAAATGAAAGAAAAGTAAGAAAAATTTACGATTCGTCGTGCGATTTGACAGTTTAAATAAAAAGCAGGCGGCATAAAAAGCTTGAAACGAAAAGTGTGGCAGCTTTCGGCAATAGGGAAAGATGCCTTGCAAAATCTACGCAAAATACTAAGAGAGCAGAAAAAATAGAAACAAAGAAAAGAGTACTGAAATGTTACGTGATGTCAGTCCTTCCTTTATGGCTGTGAATGCTGGACAATCTCCTCACTGATGAAGAAGATATTTGAAACAATAGAAAAATGGGTTTTCACAGAAAGATGCTGAGAATACAATGGACTGAGCAGGTGAGGAACGACAAAGTTTTTAGAGAAAATGCAAACAAAAAGTACACTTCAGCGTAACATCAGAAAGAGACAGCTAAAAATTCTAGGGCACATAATGAGGAATGGGGGTTTGGAAAATTGGATACTCACAGGACAGACTGAAAGCAAGAGAGACAAGAAAAAACAATACGTAACCTATATCCCGTGCTGGAGTAAATGGATGGCGGAACAAGGTTTCGGAAAGATAACAAAATGTTATAATTTATTGAAAACTACAACGGAGAGGAAATTGTGAAGAGCCATGATCGTCAAGATGAAGAGAAAGTTATTACGAATAGTTGGATGATTTGACTGTTATAGGTAAAAAAAAAAAAAAAAAGGCTGGAAACGTTATTTCCCTGGTTTGGACAATGATAAAGGCACCGAGGTTTGGCTCTTTTATTCTTGAACAGAGGCGCACACACACAATGACTTTTTTGGAGAAAAATTTTAGAACGGATTTACACTATTTACATTATTCGGACTATTGTCCTCATCTTTGTTGCCTTATTTATCAGAACGTTTCGACCATTGTACGCTCCGGCCTTCTTCAGGTGGTTGGAATGTCGAACCGAACCCTTTATTTCGCTCGCTTGGGGTAGACTGTTCTAGTTCCTCGAGCCTCGTTCCTCGTCTAATGGATGTCAGTTATCAGTTATCTCCCAGAAGGCCGAAGCATACAGCGACCGAAACGTTGTGATAAATATGGCAACAAAGATAAGGACAATAGTCCGAATGATGTAAAAATAGTGTACATAAACTCATCTCAGAAATACAGACAAATACTGAAAGAACGGATTTAGTTCAGATAAGTGAAAAAAAAATGAACGGATGATTTCAATTTTTCTTTTTCTTTTTCTTTTTTTTTTTTTTTAAGTCCAGGAAATCGAGGTACGGATAATCGAGTAAGTAAGTATTATACAAAAAAAGATTTATGTTGAATAATATTAATCTGAGTCTGGTCATCAACAGTTTATTGATTTATTTCCTTCTTTTTTATTTTATTTTTTTTCTAAATAAGAAAATCGATAAAAAATATTTTAAATGAGAAATAAAACCGAAAAAAATAAACAAGAATAAAGTAGCGCTCGTAAAAGAAAAGCAAAATTAATCACAGCCTGTCCGCCATAACTAATTCGTTGCCTAGCAACTGACGGGTGCGCACAGGCAAAAACGGAAGTGACCTTTAAGTAGCTGCAGAACAACGGAAGTGAACCGATCGTTGCTAAGGAAAGCCACATCGCCGCAACCGACGCAA